CTGCCTTATTGATGTTAGAGAAAAATGGGAAATCGCAGAGCATGGAAAAATTCCTGGATCAATCAGTATTCCATGTAAGTTGCTGCTTGGTGATTTAGAGCAAGGAAAAAACAAAAATATATGAAGGGAAAGGCATATCATTATATTATGTGTGGTACTTTCTGTACTTCATGTTTGGATTTGTACAGCATGCTAACCCTTATCATAGTCATCCAGAGAGGTCAGACAAGGGAGTGCAAGCAACATCACTACACAGGCCCCATCATTCATGTACTTGTGTCCAGCATTGTCCACAAAAGGGCAGGGTTTGCACTCTGAGTCACTATGCATGTCTTTTTTTTTTTTTTTTTGCCATTGTGGCAAACTGGATGCCTATGCAGTAAGTCACTTTATTGCTTAATGTGAAAGTGGAAACACAGCCAACAGGTCATCACAAAAGAGACCAATTAAATCAATGGAGAATGTTTATATTTTTACAGCTGGAGAAGTTGAGAAAGCTTTACAGATGGACCCAGTACACTTTAAAGAGAAATACAGTCAAGATATGCCTTCTAAATCAGATCATGTAGTGTTTTCCTGTCTGGCTGGGGTGAGAAGCAGCCAGGCTCTAACTGTTGCAAAATCACTGGGTTTCAGCAGGTAAGTATAAAACGTCCAGGAAAAATCTATGTAAGACAGTTTAGTTTTTGTGGCAAATAGAGTTGTTCCTAGTTTGATTTTTTAAAATTATGGACTTAAAGGAGAAATACAAACCCATGAAAAGAGAATACAGTTTATACTTTGACATATTGCTCTTTAAATGAAATGAATAAATTGATCCAATAAATATTGTCTGCCAGTTTCTGAATAACACATCTGAAGATTTAGGACTAAGAAAAATGGACAGAGCTCAACTTTGCCCCAGTAGAACCAAAACTGCATTCAAACCATTTGATTCAAACAGAAATTTTCCTGTATCCTCCCCGAAAAAATGCTTGTATAGGGAGGGCAATGCTGTCATGTAGTTAGTTCGGGACAAAGATAATCTAGTGTTTAAAACCTTGTAGCAAGAGTCTCATTTACATTACTATTTTCTTTTCTTTTATTTGCTAATATAGGCATCCCCTTTCCCAACTGGGTTTAATATATTTTAAGGAATATTAATCCATTTTTAAGCAGAAATACACCGCTTCTAGATGACTCCTACACTTACAATTCAAGTACAGTGTCATTATTCAGCCTTTTACTCAGCTGATTGAAAAAAGAACAAACTTGGAAGTACTGTGAGAAATTGTTGCTTGTAACCTTGTGAAATTCACTGTTTGGGCTCAAGTACTCTAAACCAGATCTGTTAAAAAAAACCCTAACATACTAAACAGAAATCAAGTAGAATGACCAAGCAGTGAGCATGTCTCATTTGAGAACTAAAGAAACATTTTATTCTACATCTTTGCATTTGCCATTACTCAAAATTAAGTATTTTATTACTATTTGGCTGATGTTCAAAAGTGTTTAACTAGTATGATTCAAAATTAGTCAATATTTCATCTCTACTGAAAATAGTTTCTTTGAGGGAGATATCATGCATGTTTTTTTGTTCCCTTATCTGATATAAAAGAAAATTGGTATACCAGCATATTTCTCCTGCATCTGATCACCATGCTCTTAAGATGATACTGTTCCTGAAAATGTTTGTGCAATAAGAAATGTTACAGAAGCTATCTTGTGTGCTTTCAGAGTTCAGCAGTACCCTGGTGGCTTCAGTGAGTGGCTGGAGTATGAATCTTCAAGGAAGAAATGATGTCTAGCACACACAAATTCTATGTATCCTGAAAGTGCAGAGGGCTATAGCTAATGCTATTTAATAAAAGTTAAGAAACTAGGTATATTAAGACATGGTTATTTTGCCAGCAAAAAAAAAGCTGAGATATGCTTCAAATGTTTAGTCTAATTAACATCATGGAAATCTTTCTGTTTAAATTTTAACAATTAATTTAAACAGATTTAAGAAATTTACAACTGATCATTGTGATAAGTTTAGCAATAAATAATGATATAAATTTAACTAAAATAAATTGGAATTAAGTTACGTATATCTCTGGGCATGAATCAAAGAAAAAATGTACTGTAAAATGTTAAACCATCTCAAAGCTGGGAGGAAAAAAAATGGCACTAAAATATTTAGCCAGGTTAAAGATGTGATCCGCCCTTATTTTCTTCAACTTTAGATTCAGGAATTAAGCTACAATCCTGCTTGTTGCTCTTGACCTTCAAGTATCTCTAGACATTAAATATTTGCAGAAATAGTATTGAGAAACACACTTTTGTCCACTCAGAGGAAACTGATTAGAGCACATATGTATTATATCTGTGATAAGGTTTCTACACGCTACATTTAAGTTAGGGACACAATATATTTCTACATAAACAGGTTCAATAAAATTGCATTCCTCGCTGAGAGATTACATTATATGAAAATACTGAACTTTCAGTACAGTGCCTATGGTATCAGAACCATTATGTCCCACTTTAAGATAACAAAACTGGTAAATTATTGTTCATTCATTTGAATATGGAAAATAGCTCTCCAACCTCTGGTGTGTATTTCTCTTCTCATACCCACAGAGGAAAGAGGCAAACACATTACTTGCAACATTGTGATAAGGCACTCCAGGGAAAAACTAAAAATGGATAATGTGTCCATGGGTTTTGATGCAGTACTTGTAAGAATTATTGCTTACAGTTCTGAAATAAAATAGGCAACATTGTTAATTTCCATTGTTTTTATTCCTATCCAGCTAGTCCATATTACAAATAAAGTTGAAATCCTCAAGATAACAAAGTAATTTCCAAAACACGACAGATGTGGTGCCTCAACCAATTCTGTTAGCGAGGGTGTGGAACAACATGACAAGCATCAACAAAATTGGCAAAACCAAAAAGGGAACATGAAAGAACTAAAAGAAAAAAACCCTCACAGAAATGTTTTTGTAAGTCAGTATCCAAACACTCTGTAAAAAAATAACTTCCAACACTTAAGTGCAGAGAGCCCAAGCGTTTGCATACAAAAACACTTTGGTTACCCTTAATTCTATGACATATCAAGTAGAGGCAGGCACTGCTGCTTTTAGATCAAGTTTTAGAACAAGCACCATTTGACAATACTCTTTCAACCAAGGTTCCTTTGTTTCTATCATGGCAGAATAATGTTCGCTTGGGTAAAAGGCATCTTAAAGCAGCCTTTCCCAACCTGGCACCTTCCCTATGTGTTGTACTTCAATCTCCATAATCCTCCACTAACATGGCCACGCTAGCTGGCCTGAAGGCAGCCGTAATCTCATACAACTAGAAGGCATCATGTTGGGGAGAGCTACTTTAGACTGAAAGAAAGGCTACTTTATCTTGTTTTAGGATCCAAAACAAACAGTCTGTCCATGAAGATTTCAGGGCTTTGGACCAAATCCCTTTTTAAGTAGGGAAGTCTGAGTAAAGAATACAGAATACGGCCCTTGAATTAGAAAAGGGAACTGAGCCTGTCTTTGAATGTTTGGTTCTTGTGTTAATTTGTACACTAATTTATGATATTTTATTATGGAATCATAGTCTCAAATGTTTCTGCTTTCTCAGGAGACAAACCATTCCTAGTAACAATTAAAGCAGAAGACTAATTTCTAGCACACAACACACCCACCGTTTACAACCTCAAATAGGTTAGATTCTTCACCTGATTGGATTGCAAAATACGTCAAGGACTTAATAGTTAGCACATTCTTCCCTATAACAGCCACAGTTTGCATTATATATATATATATTGCACTTTGCGGGTATCCTGGATTTTAAGTTCCTCTACCAAACTACAGGTATTGTAGAGCACCTCCTTAAACTTCTGATGTCATCATGCAACATTTTATACTTTTTAAGGAAGTTTTTCTTTTCCCTAAGGCATTTACTACAGCAGTGCATTCTTCTCTTAAAACATCCATTGGCAAGTATATACCTAGAAAATTAGGATTTCAAATCCAACTTCTCAAGTTACCTCCTGTATCCTGTAGTTAAACAAGTATAGTTGCAAGAAAGATCCAGTCACAGTTATCCATCTTCATGTTAACTTGGTTTAACTCACCACTATTTCTTTCAAATAACAAAACATACTATACTCTGTCCATACTGAATTACATCATTATTTTTTACTTTATCCAAAGTTTTTGATTTTTGTTGTATCACAATTCAAATGGGTGTGTGTTTAAGGAAAAGCTTTTGTACACTTGATAGAAACATTCTTTGCGTTCTATCTGAAAAGACATTATTGAAACCTTCTGTCCATGTCTTCCACATATGAAAAGATCCCAATGTGTCTTAATCCAAAGTGGTCCACAATTCATTTCTTTGGAATGTCTAAGACTGACTGTAGCTAGAATTCTGACTTCCATTTGGACCCTGGTCACTTTCACTGTTTGAAATAAAAAAGGAATTAACAAATTATACATTTATTATTAAAATGACCATGAACACATTTGATGGTTAACGTGCAAGCAGATTTCAACCTTGCCAATGAAACTTCATCCTAATTTTCCCATGTTACAGTTGCACAGGAGATCTCTCTCTTGCCCTAGGGCATTACTTGCTTTAAGTATTAGCCGATGTATGTTCATTAAATTTGCTTACAGATCACTTAAAACAGGGTAGCACAGATTTTTATTTGGATATTCAGGATTACATAATGCTTCACTGCTTTCAGAGCTACAGTAGTCTTGTTGCAATGTGATATAGGGAAGGCTGAAAATGGCCTTCAAAAGTCATCTTTGGGGTGACATCTATCCCCATTTGGTCTGGGTGCTACTTTTAACTCAGCAATACTAGTAACTTATTGTCTGGCAGGGGTGTGTATGTTTCAAAAATGATTTGGAAATATGCTATAGACCTTCTGTGTATTCACTAAAGCAGCCTATTTTTTTAAGCTTCCACATAAATAAATATGCCATTGCTTTACAGGGCTGACTCATTAAAATTAGACTCTTAAGGCAGCCTCATTTTTATCTGACTCCCATGAACCCATGGAAAAACACTGTCTGCTTAAAATAACTGTGGAAAGGTCCTGTGCTCAAATGAGTTCCAAAGTACTTATTCCACATCATGTCTAAAGCAAGCATAGCCTATTTAAACAGTGTTTTGATGTTGGCTGCCCTATTGTTACTTATGTGGAAGAATAATTGGATATACATGAAAAGTGGTTGGCATACATGGTATATTGGAAATTTTGCCCAAAGTCTGAAAATTCTTCATGCTATAAAACCTGCGTAA